TGGACTATGGTTGGATATTATTCGACACAAATACTTACGACATGCTCTAGTATAAACAGCTTCTTGTCGAAATGGCTCCTAGTTTTGGAAAGCAAGAGCGAAGATCAAACATCTTTTGCATGTGGGGTGCTATACACTCTACTGGTAATGGGCACCGTCTTCTGATTAGATGTTTGATTAGGCCCAGATCCTCTTTCCACTACTTTTCCCAGGCTATTTGCTATTACCACACTCATGAATGGTTGGTTAGCGAGAATTGGAGGAATGGGCAGTGGTGTCCACAATTCCACTGTTCTCTTGGACCGCTAGAGGCTAAAGAATGGGATTAGTTAGCAATTTTACTACGAACCATCTCTCCTTGGACGGAGCCTGACACATTTCATTGGAAACTTGAACCTTCTGGACAATTCACAACTAGCTTCTTATATCGCGCCTTGCATGACGGTACTTCCCCTTTGCAAGCAATGGATATCTGGAAGGTGCGAATCCCAACAAAAGTTAAAAATTTCCTATGGCAACTCGTGAGAAACATATTGCCTACACGTGTTCAAGCCCAAAAGCGTCATGGCCCAGGGGACGGCCAATGTGCCCTTTGCGGAATGATTGAGGATACTGATCACATATTTTTCAAGTGCAACCTTGCGCAATTCTTGTGGGGTTGTATCCACGATGTCACCGAGTGCAGTTGGGCACCGACATCATTCAGGGCATTTCACACATTATCCTCTAGACTATCCGGACGTTTCTGTAGGATTACGTGGTTAATCTTCGCGGCCATGGCTTGGGCCCTTTGGCATATTAGAAACAAAGCCTTAATTAAAGGGAAATTCATCAAACACCTTGTTGATGAGATGTATAAAGTGACAATTTTCTTGCAGCTATGGAAGCTTTTGAGCAAGTTGACGGATGCATCCATCACCGAGGAGCTTCTGGGTAAACTACGGTCTCTTGCGCCGAAGCTTCGGCATCACAGGGAGGCTAATGATCAACATGGAGACTGACCTTGCGTCCCGCTTGATGTATCTTAATTTCGCTACTTCTCGTTTCAGTTTATTTTGGCTTCGTGCCTCTTGGCCCTTGGGGGTCTGTATGGAACCTTTTCATTTTCTTTTGTTGCTAGTATGGTTGTAAACGCAGTAAGGGCTTCGGTTTGTTGATGTCGGGCAAGTGTCTTCTTTCTAAAAACACCCTAGCCCCTTGTTGAAATTTGAGACGTAATTTATCTATATCTATACCTACTAATAAAGCAAGATGCGTTTCGTCATTCTTTTCATCCGTTCACCGCCGAAAAGAATTTTTTTCCATCCGAGGTGGTACTAAATTCTTATGCGTTCGTCTGCTAGAAAAAAAAAGGTTTTTCCAGAATTTCGTCTGTGGGCCACGCGTTGTGCCCAGCGAAGCCAACCCATTTATTTTCTGCCCATAGAGCAAGGAAAATTCTACTTTCCGCACAAGGCGACAAATAATCGAAGCCTCGCATAAGACAACTAATAATGAGATGGCCCATATTTCTTTGTTTTTGTGTTTTACTTCTATTTTTATTCTCCTTTCTCTATCTCTTTTTTCCTTTCCAAGTTTATTTTTCTTATAGAATTTATTTCACAAATTAAAATTTTCAAAAAAATACAAATTTTGGAATTTTTTCAGAATTCCAAAATTGTGTTGCTATTTTTGAAAAATATTCAGAACTTGAAAAAAGTTTCCCATTTAAAAAAATGTTTTGCAAAATTGTTCAAGATTTACAAAAAGAAACCGACATTTTTTAAAATGCTCCAAATTCAGAAAATATTCTTGGTTTAGTGAAATTTTCACAATTCAAAATAACGTTCGTGTATAAAATTACACATTTTCGAAAAATGTTATGAATTTTCAATACATGGTCCCATTTAAAAAAAATGTTCACAAACCCATGTTTTTATGAAAAAAGTTGGTGTTTTAAAAAAATATTTGTGAATTTTAAAAGATATTCCTGTTTCAAGTTTTGTTCACGTTTTTCTAAAAGTGTACATTATTTTTAAAAACATATTTAGGATTTAGAAAATGGTTCATATTTTGTACAATATTCAGAAACTTCATACCTTAAATCTCCTCGATTGAAAAGAAAAGTACATTGAATGATTCATGGGCCTTTTCGTAAAAAATAATAATCCATGAGCCTTCTCTGGCATACGATGATGTAATAAAACTCTTAAATGCCCTCAATCAATGAATAGAAAAATAGCGAATTGATTACTTCATACCCAGCAAAATCAAGAAGCTAAATGTTCTTTTTTCACGTGCACACAGGGTTTTACTTACACATATAATTCTCACTAACTTTAAATGCATATTATTTTTTCTCCCGTTGTAAGAGCGTCTCCAACAGGCGCGCTAAACTAGCGCCACGCCGCAAATTAATCCGTTTTAGCGCGCGCGCAACGCGGCGGGTCGCTCCAGCGGGCGCGCAAAAACGGTGCGCACGCTAAAACGAGTTGGGCGCGCTGTCGAAAACACTGTCCCGCGCGGTGTATTTCGGGCGCCCGCTACAGCGCGCGGCACACTCGAGCGCTCGCTATCGCACTTCCTCCCCACTTCCACCCCATCCGGCTGCGCCGCCGCTGCCGCCCGCGCCCCCCGGCGACCGTTCAGCCGCTTCCCCCGCCTATCCCCGCGCCGCCGCGCTTCCGCCCCATCCCCTCCTAGTCCCGCCGGCGCTCGCGCGCCTCCGTCGTCCGAGGAACAATGCCCGAGCGCTCGCTGCCGCGCCGCGCCCGCAAGGTGTTCGACAAAACGCCTACAAGGTATGTATTGCTCAAACTTCATGAATTTGGTGCATGTTTTGAATTGTAGTTTTTATAGTATAGTATTGAACATTGTAGATGAGTTCGTCGTATGATTCTTTCGAAGAAGAATTTGATATGGAAGAGGAGGAGGATCTTGCAATGATCCTAGCTATGCATATCAATAAAAAACCGAAGCACGGTGGTTCGGTTATGGGTCGGGGGAAAATTTGGAGAGATAGGATTGATGCCCATTAACAGATTGATGAAGAACTATTTCGTGGATAATCCCACATACCCGGAGTCATATTTTCGTCGCCGGTTTAGAATGAGCACTGACTTGTTCAGGCGCATTGCAGAGAAACTAGCAAGCCATGACCGGTTTTTCTAGCAAAGGAGGAATGCCGCCGGAGAGCTCGGGCATAGCACCTTTCTGAAGGTGACAGCCACTTTGCGTATGTTGGTATACGGTATCCCGGCTAATCTAGTTGATGATCACTTGGCTATGGGTGAGAGCCAAGCCATCATGTGTGTCAAGCGCTTTGCAGTGGGAATTGTGCAAGTGTTTGGCGAGGAGTATTTGAGATCTCCCACTACTGAAGGCGCCGCAAGGCTATTGGCGATGAACAAAGCGCGCGGCTTTCCTGGCATGCTTGGCTCAATAGATTGCATGCATTGGAGTTGGAAGAATTGTCCAAAGGCATGGCATGGGCAATTCCACGGCCAAAAAAAGGGTTTCACAATAATCCTTGAAGCGGTGGCCGATCAGGAGACTTGGATTTGGCATGCATTCTTTGGATTGCCTGGATCTTTGAATGACATCAATATTGTCAACCGGTCACCACTGTTGAATAAGATTGCAAACGGTGAGTTGCCACCGGTGCAGTTTGTAGCAAATGGCCGTACGTACAACTATGACTATGATCTAGCGGATGACATCTATCCAAAGTGGCAAACCTTCGTGAAGCCGTTGAAAAAGCCGGAAGGTAAGAAAAATCTTGATTTTCACAATGCTCAGGCGGCGGCTAGAAAAGATGTGGAGAGAACATTTGGGATTTTGCAAGCCCAATTTGCTCTTGTGAGAGGCCCGGCTAGATTTTGGGATCAAAAAATGCTTTGGTACATCATGCACGCTTATGTGATCATGCACAACATGATCATCGAGAATGAGCGTGGCCAAGATTTAGACTACTCACAGTATGAGCTCTTGGGACATCCCGTGCGAGTGCGACGTAGGGCTGAAAGGGTAGCCCGTTTTATTGCCTCCTATCATGCCATTCGGCGTCCCGCAACGCACAATGAACTTCAGAATGATCTGATTGAAGAGTGGTGGGCATGACATGAACAACAAAGAGCATGATGATTTCTGCATTCAACATTGTATTGTTCATGAACTATTTGTTGTGTTTATTGCATTATTTGTTGTACTGAACGATAAACTATTTGTTTAAGTTGTAATGATAATGAAATTGAACTATTTATTGTTGATTTATTTTGTTTGTTTGATCATTTTTGCTCCTCTTCTTTGAAATGTATATGTGGTTTGTGCGGCGCGCGCGCTGTATTTTTGCGCTCTGCTGGAGCGGCGCGCGCGCTGCATTATAGCGCGGCTGCTGGAGCCAGCGCTCGCGGCAGCGCTAAACCAGCCGAAGCGCGCGCGGCAAACAGATTTTTTGCGCGCGGCGTTTAGCGCGGCTGTTGGAGATGCTCTAACGCATGGCATATGTGCTAGTAGTGCACCAAAATGAAAATGAAGAAACACCCGGGTCTTGTGTAGCTGTTAGCGATTCCTATTTGTAGAACCATCATCAATTCCGAAAGCGACTTGGCACCATAACTTGCTAAGTTGAAGTCGATGGCACAGTGCTTCCCTTCATTACGAGTAATTATGACGGGACAGATTGGGAGAAGGATAAGATAGACGGATAGTAGCGCCAATGCGGTAGCTCAACCACTCTACTCGATCGGGACACCGCCCAACACCTTGCTCTTGTGTAACAAAGGGGTAACAAAGACTTCATCGATTATTGATTGAATATTCACGTAGCATTACATCGTTGGTAACAATTAATAGAAGCAAACTCGCAAAATAAAAAAGATACTCCACGCACGAGACGCACCACGTACGTACTCATGCCAATGCGTGCACCGCAGATCACTTTCACTCGTACAGTCGTATCACACACAGGTACTATAGGCACCAGCACAAACCATATGAACGCTGCGACGTCGATCGATCGATCAATGCTTGTCGTTGGCCTCGGTGGCGCCGGCCGGCGCCGGCGCGTCGTCAGCAGCGGCGTCCTCGTCGGCGAAGGCGGCGGCGGGGAAGGAGCGGCCGATGCCGACGTTGGACTTGAAGTAGACCTTGTCGGCGCCGTCGAGGCTCATCTCCACGATGGGCACCCAGAGCATCATCTGCTTGCTCCGGACCCCGGTCATCCGCTTCATCCGCCCTTCCTCCACGTACGCCGTCACCTCGGCGTCGTAGCGCACCCGGGTGCCCGTGGCGCGGAAGTGGTGCTCGTAGGGCTTTCCCTGCCGCATCCACACGTACCCGGTCTCCCGCACCAGCCCGCACTCTTCCAGCCCGCGCAGCGGCATCACCCCGCCCGGGAACCCCAGCCCCTTGAGGAGCTCCTTGGAGTGCTCGTAGCACGCCTCAGCGCCGGTGATGATCTCCGCGCCCTCGCGCTGCTTGTTGGCGTTGCCGGCCGCCGGTGTCGTCTGCGAGACGGTGAGGGAGGCCATCTTCGCTGTTGATTGTCCTGGCCTAGCTAGCTGAAACGTGCTGGTCGAGCTGTGGCTAGCTTGTGTGTGTGTACTGCTTGTGTTGTGAGATGCAAGTGAGGTCCGCACGGGAGGTGTTTATAGGGAGAGCGGAGTGGCCGGGTAGGTGACGGGGAGTTGAGCTAGCTAGCTAACGGTAATGGTGGATGCTTTGGTTTGGTTGGGTAGGTCACCAAGCACAGTGGAGAATGTTCAGTTTTTGAGTGGGCGTAATATGTGTGTTCGGTGTCGAATGCGTTCGGCGTTCACCTAAGCGCCTAGCTAACCCTCAGAAAATATATATCGTTAATTCACTCTACTCATCTCTCTGAATTTGTTGCTTCACAATTTCACATGAAAGGAAGAGAATGTGAGAAGCGTTAGGATTTAACTAATACTATTATTAATCCATGCTTAAGAGAACCGGCATACTCCAACGGGTAATGCTACACCTACGTAGGATAGTTGCGTGCTTTACGTGATTAGCAACGTGGCTAATCATCATTGGAGAAGCTTTCGATTGTGTGGGTCGTAGTGGAGGTCTTGCTTTGTATTGGCATGATTCCGTGAGTCTTGATGTAAAAGAAATAAATGAACGATATATTGACGCGTATGTAACTGGCGCGAAGGGCGAGCCTCCCTCGCGGCTCACCTGTGTTTATGGCGAGCCCCGAACGGAGGACCGTCATCACATGTGGTCCCTCCTCCGTAATCTCCATCAGCACGCCAACATGCCTTGGGTCGTGGTGGGTGATTTCAACGAGGCGATGTGGAGTTTTGAGCACTTCTCCGACACACCACGCTCGGCAGGTCAGATGCTTGATTTCCGTGATGTTCTTGAGGTTTGTGGTCTGGGCGACCTTGGTTTTGCAGGTCTCCCATACACCTTTGATAACCGGCGAGGTGGACGGGCAAACGTCAAGGTTTGCCTTGACCGTGCTGTGGCTAACAATGCTTGGAGGGATATTTTCGCCCATGCAAGTGTTGGAAATATGCCCTAGAGGCAATAATAAAAGCATTATTATTATATTTCCTTGTTCATGATAATTGTCTTTATTCATGCTATAATTGTGTTATCCGGAAATCGTAATACATGTGTGAATAATAGACACCGACATGTCCCTAGTGAGCCTCTAGTTGACTAGCTCGTTGATCAACAGATAGTCATGGTTTCCTGACTATGGACACTGGATGTCATTGATAACGAGATCACATCATTGGGAGAATGGTGTGATGGACAAGACCCAATCCTAAACATAGCACAAGATCGTATAGTTCATTTGCTAGAGTTTTCCAATGTCAAGTATCTTTTCCTTAGACCATGAGATCGTGTAACTCCCGGATACCGTAGGAGTGCTTTGGGTATGCCAAACGTCACAACGTAACTGGGTGACTATAAAGGTAGACTACGGGTATCTCCGAAAGTGTCTGTTGGGTGACATGGATCAAGACTGGGATTTGTCACTCCGTATGACGGAGAGGTATCACTGGGCCCACTCGGTAATGCATCATCATAATGAGCTCAGAGTGACCAAGTGTCTGGTCACGGGATCATGCATTACGGTACGAGTAAAGTGACTTGCCGGTAACGAGATTGAACGAGGTATTGGGATACCGACGATCGAATCTCGGGCAAGTAACATATCGATAGACAAAGGGAATAGCGTACGGGATTGATTAAATCCTCGACATCGTGGTTCATCCGATGAGATCATCGTGGAGCATGTGGGAGCCAACATGGGTATCCAGATCCCGCTGTTGGTTATTGACCGGAGAGTCGTCTCGGTCATGTCTGCTTGTCTCTCGAACCCGTAGGGTCTACACACTTAAGGTTCAGTGACGCTAGGGTTATGAAGATATGTATATGCAGAAACCCGAATGTTTTTCGGAGTCCCGGATGAGATCCCGGACGTCATGAGGAGTTCCGGAATGGTCCGGAGGTAAAGAATTATATATAGGAAGTGCTATTTCGGGCATCGGGACAAGTTTCGGGGTTATCGGTATTGTACCGGGACCACCGGAAGGGTCCCGGGGGTCCACCGGGTGGGGCCACCTGTCCCGGGGGGCCACATGGGCTGTAGGGGGTGCGCCTTGGCCTAGATGGGCCAAGGGCACCAGCCCCTATAGGCCCATGCGCCTAGGGTTTCCACCATGGAAGAGTCCATGTGGTGGAAGGCACCCCTAGGTGCCTTGGGGGGGAGGGAAACCTCCCCTTGGCCGCCGCCCCCCCTAGTAGATGCCATCTACTAGGGCCGGCGCCCCCCCTGGCACCCCTATATATAGTGGGGGGGAGAGGAGGGATTTTAGACCAGCCCCTGGCGCCTCCACCTCCCGCTGTTACGTCTCTCCCTCGTAGTCTCGGCGAAGCCCTGCTGCTGTGACGCCCTGCATCCACCACCACGCCGTCGTGCTGCTGGATCTTCATCAACCTCTCCTTCCCCCTTGCTGGATCAAGAAGGAGGAGACGTCTCCCGTCCCGTACGTGTGTTGAACGCGGAGGTGCCGTCCGTTCGGCGCTGGTCATCGGTGATTTGGATCACGTCGAGTACGACTACATCATCACCGTTCTTTTGAACGCTTCCGTGCACGATCTACAAAGGTATGTAGATGCATCTAATCACTCGTTGCTAGATGAACTCCTAGATGATCTTGGTGAAACGAGTAGGAAATTTTTGTTTTCTGCAACGTTCCCCAACAGTGGCATCATGAGCTAGGTCTATGCGTAGTTCTTCTTGCGCGAGTAGAACACAATTTGTTGTGGGCGTAGATTTGTCAACTTTCTTGCCGTTACTAGTCCTTTCTTGCTTCAGCGGTATTGTGGGATGAAGCGGCCCGGACCAACCTTACACGTACGCTTACGTGAGACCGGTTCCACCGACTAACATGCACTAGTTGCATAAGGTGGCTGGCGGGTGTCTGTCTCTCCTACTTTAGTTGGAGCGGAATCGATGAACAGGGTCCTTATGAAGGGTAAATAGAAGTTGACAAATCACGTTGTGGCTTTAACGTAGGTAAGAAAACGCTCTTGCTAGAACCCTAATTCAGCCACATAAAACTTGCAACAACAATTAGAGGACGTCTAACTTGTTTTTGCAGCAAGTGGTTTGTGATATGATATGGCCAAAGTTGTGATGAATGATGAATGATCTATATGTGATGTATGAGATGTTCATGCTATTGTAATAGGATTCACGACTTGCATGTCGATGAGTATGACAACCGGCAGGAGCCATAGGAGTTGTCTTTATTCTTTTATATGACCTGCGTGTCATCGAGAAACGCCATGTAAATTACTTTACTTTATTGCTAAACGCGTTAGCCATAGTAGTAGAAGTAATAGTTGGCGAGCAACTTCATGGAGACACGATGATGGAGATCATGGTGTCAAGCCGGTGACAAGATGATCATGGAGCCCCAAGATGGAGATCAAAGGAGCTATGTGATATTGGCCATATCATGTCACGTTTATTATTTGATTGCATGTGATGTTTATCATGTTTTGCATCTTGTTTACTTAGAACGACGGTAGTAAATAAGGTGATCCCTCATACTAATTTCAAGAAGTGTTCCCCCTAACTGTGCACCGTTGCGACAGTTCGCTGTTTCAAAACACCACGTGATGATCGGGTGTTTTATTCAGACGTTCACATACAACGGGTGTAAGACAGATTTACACATGCAAACACTTAGGTTGACTTGACGAGCCTAGCATGTACAGACATGGCCTCGGAACACAGAAGACCGAAAGGTCGAGCATGAGTCGTATAGTAGATACGATCAACATGAAGATGTTCACCGATGTTGACTAGTCCGTCTCACGTGATGATCGGACACGGTCTAGTTAACTCGGATCATGTAATACTTAGATGACTAGAGGGATGTCTAATCTAAGTGGGAGTTCATTAATAATTTGATTAGTTGAACTTAATTATCATGAACTTAGTCTAAATATTTTACAATATGTCTTGTAGATTAAATGGCCAACGTAGTCCTCAACTTCAACGCGTTCCTAGAGAAAACCAAGCTGAAAGACGATGGCAGCAACTATACGGACTGGGTCCGGAACCTGAGGATCATCCTCATAGCTGCCAAGAAAGATTATGTCCTACAAGCACCGCTTGGTGACGCACCCGTTCTCCCTGCAGAACAAGATGTTATGAACGCTTGGCAGGCACGTTCCGATGACTACTCCCTCGTTCAGTGCGGCATGCTTTACAGCCTAGAGCCGGGGCTCCAAAAGCGTTTTGAGAGACATGGAGCATATGAGATGTTCGAAGAGCTGAAAATGGTTTTCCAAGCTCATGCCCGGGTCGAGAGATATGAAGTCTCCGATAAATTCTTCAGCTGTAAGATGGAGGAAAACAGTTCTGTCAGTGAGCACATACTCACTATGTCTGGGTTGCATAACCGCTTGACTCAGCTGGGAGTTAATCTCCCGGATGATGCGGTCATTGACAGAATCCTCCAGTCGCTTCCACCAAGCTACAAGAGCTTTGTGATGAACTTCAATATGCAGGGGATGGAAAAGACCATTCCTGAAGTATTTGCTATGCTGAAATCAGCAGAGGTAGAAGTCAGAAAGGAACATCAAGTGTTGATGGTCAATAAAACCACTAAGTTCAAGAAAGGCAAGGGTAAAAAGAACTTCAAGAAGGACGGCAAGGAGGTTGCCGCGCCCGGCAAGCAAGCTGCCGGGAAGAAGCCAAAGAATGGACCCAAGCCCGAGACTGAGTGCTTTTATTGCAAGGGAAGCGGTCACTGGAAGCGGAACTACCCTAAGTACTTAGCGGATAAGAAGGCCAGCAAAACAAAAGGTATATGTGATATACATGTAATTGATGTGTACCTTACTAGTGCCCGTAGTAGCTCCTGGGTATTTGATACCGGTGCAGTTGCTCACATTTGTAACTCAAAGCAGGGGCTGCGGAATAAGCGGAAACTGGCAAAGGACGAGGTGACGATGCGCGTCGGGAATGGTTTCA